AATAAATAAATAAAATCTTTAAAAAAAAAAAAAAAAGAATACAAAATGTCAAAGTATATCACACATAGAAAGGGAAAATACTGCTTGGAAAAGCATTACTTTCTTATACATACACATCTTACACACACACACCTCTATATACTCATGTTTACAGCTATACACATGTGAGTGCATATGTGCCCTATAACTGTGGATGTATGCATACACTGAATCACAATGAAATGTATTTTTTATTGTGTGTCATAGCCAAAAACATTTGAAAAACACTGGCCTGAATTAATCATTCCATTTCTGAAACTGTCTAGCTTGGAGAAAGGCTTTTATTAATAGCTTACTTCATTCCCTTTCTATAATTTATAGATTAACTTTCAGGAAAATTAAGTCCTTTATAGGATAGTACCTGAAAAAGTAGAAATAAGAAAAAAGGAGAGTAATAGTAAATGGAATTTAATTCTGGAGAAAGGACCTTTCTCCAGAAAAGGAAAAATGAGAACCCCTTCTTCTACTAATGACTGTCTTCCTAGAAGGTTGCTTGAGTACAGGAAGTAGGTATATCTAAAAATCATTACACTTGTAAAGAGACACGTCCTTGGAGAGTTCTCAGAACATGTGCATTTTTCCTTCCTCCCCACATGCAAGTAGCTCATACCAGCAGAGGAGGCCCACAGTTGAGAGCTCTGCCAGAGATCAGTGGAGAAGCAATAGTTTAGCTCAGGAAGAGGTATATTAGCAGACCCATCTGGTCCAAATATAAGCCTTGTTCTCCAAATACTGTATCAGCAAAAAACAAAACCAATAGAGTCAACTTCATTATTTGCAGATTCACCTACTTGCTAAAATTTATTTGTAACCCTAAAATCAATACTAGCAGAGCTTTCCTCGTCATAGACATGCATAGAACAGGCAAAAAAATTCAAGTTGCTAAACACTTTCCTAGCTGAGGCTGAGTAAGTACTCTTGTTTCAATTCTCTCAGAGGTAACAAGAGGATGGAGAGTGGAGACAGTAGGAGGCAGTGCAGTGTACAGCAAAAAGTCCCAGGTCTTGTGCCAGCTGGAGATTTGAATCCCAACTCTGACATCTCTTAGTGAGGTGGCCTCAGGCAAGTCACATAACACTTATGAACTACTGCTTCTCTTTTATAAAATAAAGAAGACAAAATCTATCAGAATTAGTTGCTTTAAGATTATAATGTATATAAGATATACGTATTTGTATATTAAATATGCACTAAATATATTAATATTAGTATATATTGTAAATAATATATGTTAAATATACATTTAATATAAACATAGCAGCAATGGTTCGGTATTTGCTAATATAGTGTTCACAGCAACTTTATAGCACATACTTGCCGCTAATAATGAAAACTGACGGCATATTCATATAAAGGAGAGAGAGAAAAACAGACAAGAAGGAAATTTCAAATCAAAGGTATATATAGACTATGTAGGAAGTTGTAGCTCCTTAAATGCTTAAATTCACTTCTGTCTATAGAATTGTGAAACCAGTTATACTTACTTAAATCATTCCTATTTATTAAACTCTGAATAGAAGATACTTACAAATATGTGTAAGAAGAGTAAAAATACTGAGTTTTGCTTTTAAAAAAAGAATGGGTGCAGATAAAATCACTTCCACTAGAAGGAGCCCTAACCTTACTAATAAAACTCAGAAGCAACTGAAGGATTTAATCAGGATAAAATTACTGATTTTTCTGATTGGAAATTAAATTTCTTATCTAAGCTCTGCTGCCACATTCAAAACACAAGTTTTTTTTTAGTAAAATTTTAAAAACCGAGCTTCCATTTAAAACATACAGTTCCTCTATAGTAGACAATCGTTATCACCTAAGACTGCTGTTCCCTCAAGAGGTCACACTAGTTAGATCATCAAAAAATCTGGTCAACTGATGACTGCAACCTGTAGCACTGTCTCAGAACAGTCTAACGATTAATACTGTTTAATCTGAGTAGAACTACTACCTAACTCACCGAGCCCATTTCCTCATCTTTAAGAAAGGGACAATATGGGCACCTTGCAGGAGGATTAAATGAGAGAAGAGGGGAAAAGTGTGTGTGCATGTGTGTGCTGGTGCACAACACATGTTGAGTTCTCTTTTCTCTTCCTTTTATTATATTGTTAGTTAAAATGTTATTAATTCCTCTGAAAAAAGTTTCCTGGTTTATAAAAAAAAAAATATGATGAAGCTCAAGCCTGTAATCTACAAAAAGTAGCAACAGAGACAAAAACATAATAAAAATCAAGCTAATGAGGGGCACCTGAGTGGCTCAGTCGTTAAACGTCTGCCTTCGGTTCAGGTCATGATCCCAGGGTCCTGGGATCGAGCCCCATGTTGGGCTCCCTGCTCAGCGGGAAGCCTGCTTCTCCCTCTGCCTTTGCCCCTCCCCCCTGCTTCTGCACAGGCACTGGCACGCACTCTCTCTCAAATAAATAAAATATTTTAAAAAATAAATAAATAAAATCAAGTTAATGATTGTTAAATGTTTTGTGATTCTTGCATATAAACACACCCCCAAAACTGTTAGTAAGCTAGTATTAAAGTATCAAAAGATGCTTTTTGTAAACAAATTTTGGTAAGACTTGCATATGCAAACTGAGTTACAATCCTATTAGATACAGAGTATCCAAGAGAATCAGTGATAAACGTTAACTGTATTGATAAGGTCATTCAATTAGTCTTTGGTAAGGGACTATTTCAAAGCCTGATAGAAATAACTTTTATTAGACTGAATAATCAACGAGTTAAAATATATAATTGGGTACTTTGCTTGAAGTCCTTTTTTTTTTAAAGTTATTTATTTGAGAGAGAGAAAGAGAGCGTAAGCACATGCATGAGTCAGGGGAGGGGCAGGAGAGAATCTTCAAGTGGACTCCCCACTGAGCGGCAGAGCCCATGGGAGGGTGAGGGGCTCAATCTCATGACCCATGAGATCACAACCTGAGCTGAAACCAAGAGGTGGACACTTAACCGACTGAGCCAGCCGGCACCCCTGTAACAGTCTTGATTAAAACTTGTTTCTTGACTATTCACAGTACTCTACTCCCTCCTTTACAACGGCCCTGATTACACTGTAAAACAAGATAAAAACTATTGTTAAATATACACCAATACTAATTCCTCTCACCTAAAATATCAGGGCATACTCTAACCACAGGACATTAGAGAGTCTCTAGTTCATACCTTAGGTGGACTCATCTAGCTTGTGCTGTCTAATACAGTAGACCACTAGCCACTCGCCACGTGTGGCTATCAAGAGCTTAAATGTGGCTAGTCCAAATTGAGATGCACTACAAGTATAACATACACACTGGATTTTCAAGACTTAGTTTGAAAAGTATCTTATTAATAGTTTTTTATAGTTATTATAAGTTAAAATTTTATAAATTAATATTAATATAATATTATATAAATATAAGTTAAATATTAAATAATATTTAATGATTAAATTAAATATTAAATGAAATAGTTCACCAATTTCATTTTCCTTCTTAAATGTGACTACCAGAAAATGCAAAATTACATATGTGGTTCACATTTGTGACTCTTGTTCTATTTCTACTGGGCAGCACTGATCCAGACTGTCACCAAAGAAAAGAGCCAAACCTGAGTGCCAGGTCCATTTCCTCAGCCTGTAGCACAGCACCCAACAATGGCTGGACTTGGATGGCATCACCAACCTTCACGCCCACATTCTTCTGTGCCATTTCACTCAGGCCAACCTTACCTCCAGGAAATCCTGCCACAGGCCAGGCCGTATAGACCTGCCCAGAACACAGGAAATTAAAATATGAGAAAATAAATATTCATAGAGTATCATTAATTTATAAAGCAGAAAACTAAGCACAGCTAAGCATATGGATCTGCAAAACACAGTCCTTAACCCAAGGAGTTACAATCTGAGAAGTCAGAGAAAAAACTTTTAAGATAAATATTATATCTTCTTGTGAAGATTAGGAATGATCCCACAGTGAAAATGATTTGAAGATTTGAAAGGTAATTTAGGAAAACAGACAAAGGCATTAACATGTAATAAGAAGAAAAGAGGAAAAAATACTAAAGACAAACTAACTGTAAGGTAATCCAGCCTGGAGCATAAACTACATCCAGGAAATAGTGAAGGACCTGGCACAAGAGCTTCATGAGAACCTGGATCACATCAGACTTAAATGTTAAGGGAGAGAAGCAAAGACTTCCAGTTCCAAATAGTGGGCTGAGCTCATACATTTGTAGTCTTCCACAAGACACAGCAAAGGACTCTTTTTTTCTTTTTAAGAATAATGAAAAGAATGAGCGGTGTGCCATCAGCACATAACAGATTTCAAATCATTTTCGGTGGACCCCGCTGGATGAGAGGACCCCGGCTAATGAAGCAGCAGAAAAAATGTCAGAAGCAGAGGCCAGAAGCAGGGCAGAACCAGGAAAGGTTCTGGGCTTCCAGCCTCAAGTATGATGAATAGCAGCAAGAAAAAACAGCTGAAAACAGGGAGGGCAATCAAATATTTGTACACAAAAGAGATGACTTTCATATTCCCAAACAGCATTTCTGTGAAAAAAATATAACAGACTGAGGGGGATAGGGCTGATACTATGTGTGTCACTACCTCCGGAAGAAAGGCCTCTCTCTACATTATGACATTTAGGGGCTACTATTCCCAGTATAGTCATAGACATCAAAGGAAGGAAAAGTTTATATAGATGGGAGGATCTTCTAAAATATAGTTTTTCATTTACTACTGCTTTGTTGAAAATTAAAATAAAAAACATCTCAAATCTTTTTTTTTTTTTTAAATGTTTTATTTATTTATTCATGAGAGTCAGAGAGACAGAGAGAGAGAGAGAGACGCAGAGGCAGAGGGAGAAGCAGGCTCCCCGCCTAGCAGGGAGTCTGATGCAGGACTCGATCCCAGGACCCTGGGATCATGACCTGAGCCAAAGGCAGATGCTTAACGACTGAGCCACCCAGGCGCCCTCAAATCTTTCTAAACTAAGGAAATGAAAAAGACTCTTACCTCTTGTTTTCCATCCAAACTGGTAAGCAACACTGGTCGACCTATACATATATTTGCAGATTTCATAGTGTTGAGTCCAAGTTGAACAAGGGAATTCTGGAATGTTTTAGGAACTTTGTCATCTACCAAAAAGGGAAAGAAAATTATTTTCATACTATTTTATAGCTGAAGTTAAAGCCTGCTTTCTTTTGGAGTAAATAAAAATCCTCTCTCCACATAACCACATGAATGCACTTACCATACCCTAAAGAAACCACAGTTCCAATCCTTATTTTTTTTTTTTTAACAAAAAGACTTAAAACCAAAACTTTTTGAGGGTCCATTGACTGACAATACGAGTGCTAACTAAAAAAAGATGTTTTATGGGCTAGGTATTAGTTTTCATCTTTTAAGAAAAATAATCTCTAATTTCTTTAAAAACTGAACATAGATGAAATAGGCTTCTCATACTTGCATAGTAACCTTTTGTACTACAGATTCTAGTTGAGTTGACTACTGGTATTCAAAGACTTGAGCTGGGGTACTGGCATTTAGCTCTGGAGGGTTAAATTACATTTCCACTTCTGATCCACAGGATACCAGTCAGATATTTTTCTTTTCTAATGCCAAGAATACATGAGTAAGATAATAATAGCACAGGTCTTATTCCTTAGGTAAGCAACACACTGACTAAAATGACCATTACTGTTTTCAACTTTTGGCCAAGGAAGGGGACAAGAAGTCAGCCCAGCTGGCAACACCTCTGAAAATGATGTGCTAACATGTCCACCCTGCCCCCTCACCTCCTCAAGGTCCACATTTGGTCCTTCCTCTGCTTCTTCCAGCACCCTATGCTGCCAGATACTAGCATTTATCATTATAATATACATTCGTTTTATAGTCTGACTTTCTCCTAAACCATATGCTGCTTTGGGCACAAACTGGGTCAAATTCATCTCTGTATCTCCAATGCCTAGTAGTGCATCAAATATAGAAGTTGCATAATAGATATCCATGAAATCAATGAACATAGTAGATGACTACACACTATTTTTCTTTTCAGCACAAAATCCATGAGACACGAAATTTTAACCCGTCACAAACTTTGTTATAAAATGTATTATTAGACACATATACCATAATCATACTTCTCTAATATTAGTGTTCCTTAATAATAAAAAAAGAGCACTGTGAATTGTGTAAGACTGTTGAATCACAGACTTGTACCTCTGAAACAAATAATACATTATATGTTAAAAAAAAAAAAAAAGAAGATAGCAGGAAGGGAAAAATGAAGGGGGGGAAATTGGAGGGGCAGACGAACCATGAGAGACTATGGACTCCAGGAAACAAACTGAGGGTTCTAGAGGGGAGAGGCGTGGGGGGGATAGGTTAGCCTGGTGATGGGTATTAAAGAGGGAACGTACTGAATGGAGCACTGGGTGTTATACGCAAACAATGAATCATGGAACACTACATCAAAAACTAATGATGTAATGTATGGTGATTAACATAGCATAATAAAAAAAACACAGATATTTTGTAATTTAAAAGGAACAAAGTCAATGAAAGCAAAACCATGTCTGATTTAATTATTTTTGCCATTACAAAATAACTACCCAACATATGTATTTTCCTTCTGTCATCAGCTGAACAAATCTAGAAAAACAAAGCATCTCATGGAGCTAAGATTAATAGTACTGAGCATTTATAGAATAAGCATATTTCATAATGAGGCTGAAAAGAAATTCAACTTTCCTATGAGCATTAGGTCTCTTACATAGCATACTCATCAATAACAGCAAAGCATCCTTTTTGTGACCTCATAAGGTTGTTTCTGCCACTTCTTTCTTCCTAAACCCATGAATTACCCTTCCCTCTTGATAAGTACCTCACAGGTGTATTCAGTCCTTGGCAATATTCTAGGTTTTCTTCTTCTCTTCCTTCCATCCTATCCTGCACATTCACCATGCACCAGGATTTGACAAATCACAGGTTCTCTAAATACCTCCACTTCCTCCCTATGAAGATCACGTTCAAATTCTCACCCACTGACCTTATTTCCTAAAACATCTCCATGCGTTCTCTTACAGCATTCAAATCTACTCAAGCTGTACTCCACACAATTCCTTTCACCAGTCCTCATTCCTCCAATACTGTACTTTAAAAATACATCTCAACATCCACTCTCCCCATTAATTAACTATACATTTATTGAGCACTTCATGTGCCAGATTAGTAAAGGTAATTTCAAACAACCACCCACTCTTCATTTGTTCATCCAAACATTTATTATCCCACATTAACATCCCACTACATGGCAAATAATATGTTAGGCACTAGGGATACAAAGTGAACAGAAGTGGATAGTCCTTGGCCTCACAGAGCTTATAATCTAATAGGATGAGAGAGTTATTAAACAATCACTGAATAACTGTGTAATTGTAAGCTAAGATTACTACAATGTAAGAATGACTAAGAGTGCTGAGAAAGCCTATTATGTGGAATCTAATCTGGAAGAAACAGAGAATGCTTCTCCAAGGAAATAAGTTTAAATTCAGTCCAAAGGAAGAGTAGGAATTAACTAAACAAAGAGGAAAAAAAAGATAATTCTTGGCAAAGAGAACAGCTTGTACAGAGAAGTACTGGACAGAAGGCAGCACTGTGCATCTTAGAAAAGAGTACAGGCAAAATGGCAGGAGACAAAAAGGGGCCACGTAAGAAGATCAAGACCTCCCAGGGCAGTAGGCTATAGCAAGCAGCAGCTCGTTCATTTTCTCTCTAAGCAAATAAATCTTTTAAAAAAATAAAATGTTAAAAAAAGAAAGAAAAATCCAAGAAAAGATGTACAGCACAATGCTATACAAACTATAGAAATGATCCCTGAAAGTATAGTCTTAGCACAATGCTATACAAAGTGTGGTCAGCAAACTATTTGTTACTGGTTCATGATGGGATAAGTACAGCAAATAAGGGTTTAGTAGCTTTTATTACAATTGGACAGAGTAATCCTACATCTCTTGAATCCAATAAAAATTTCTATTTTTAAACTTATTTTTCTAGTAATTTGTTTTTATTGTATTTTACAACAGTGCCAAGCTGTGACACACACACATATATATATATATATATATTTTTTTTTTTTTTTTTTTTGAGAGAGAGTGAGCGAGCGAGAGTACAAGCTGGAGGAGGGGCAGAGGGAGAGGGCGAAGCAGGATCCCTGAGGAGCAGAGAGCCCGATGCGGGGCTTGATCCCAGGACCCTAGGATCATGATCCGAGCCGAAGGCAGCCGCTTAACCAACTGAGCCACCCAGGTGCCCCAACACATCATATTTTAAAAAACTTTCCCTACAGAATTTGAGTAGTATTGGCCTAGAAGGCACCTGAACCAAGACTCAGAAATAGTATAAATTACAAATATAAATGCGAAAATGATGAATGTATAGATGGAAAACTCTGGACATTGGATGAACTTGCCAAAGAAAGATTTATACAGAGAAAAAGAGGGTTTTAGGAGTAAGAATTGAGGCACTTAGCCATTTGGCAGCAAAGTAGAAAATGAGCCTGCAAAGGAAACTGAAAATCTACCTACCAACAAAAGGATGGAGAAAAACTAGGAAAGTTTAATGGCACATTGCCAAAAATTAAAGTGTGGTTTGTTTGTTTTTTAAGATTCTGTTTATTTATTTGAGAAGCAAGAGAGAGTGAGTGATAGAGAGAAAGAGTATGACCCGGGCGGAGGGGCACAGGGGGAGAGAGAAGCAGATTTCCCACTGAGCAGGGGGCCCCACGAGGGGCTTGATCCCAGGACCCTGGGATCATGACCTGAGCCGAAGGCAGACGCTTAACATACTGAGCCACCCAGGCACGCCCCAAAATTAAAGTGTTTTAAGAAAAACGAAATGGTAGACAATGCCAGAAGTTGCTGAGGTCAAGCAAGGGAAGTAAAGAAAAACTGCCCATTGTATTTATCAACATGGAGATGATCAGTGACCATGACAGGGACAGTTTCCATAGAATGATGGGATAGATGTCAAAACTTAAATAGGCAAAGGAGTAGGTGACAGATGAACAGACAGAGACTACTCCATTTACGAAACTTGGCAATGAGCAACACCTGGCTGGCTCAGTCAGTAGAGCATGCGACTCTTGATCTCAAGGTTTTGAGTTCAAGTCCAATGTTGGGAGATTACTTAAAAATAAAATCTTAAAAGAAAAAAAGAAAGAAAGAAACTTGGCAATGAAAGGATGGAAACAGAGAGGGTGGTATTAAGAAGAAAATGTGGAACTTTTGTTTTAAGATGTAAGAGAAATCAGCAGGTTTAAATTTCAAGGGAAGGATCCAGTTGAAAAAGAGATTGTATATTCAGGACAGAACAAGTTATCCTCTGATCCATAGATGAAACTGAAAACACTGTGTTAACTCTAAAATTGTCATTAGGTTGTGCATTAGACATAAAATTCTTGCCACCAGTTTAACTGGTGTTCCATTTTTTCCAAAGCTATAACACAGCTTCAACACACAGAAGCTTTACCAATGAACTTTTCCGATAAATCCGTTCTCCTAACTCAAGGGAGCTCTGATCTAGAATAAGGGCTTTAAAGCTAAGTACCTCCTGCCACTTAGTACCTGTGGAACCTGGAGCCAATTACATTAACTATTCTTTCTCTGTGAAATGGGCATAATAATACATTCCCATCTTCCAGGTCTTCTATTAAGGTTAAAGGAGATATGTGACATACCCAACCTACTGATAACAATACTATGTAACTGGTAGCTGTTATTAACTTTCAGAACCTGTGTAGTAGAAGAAAAAACCCTAAAGCCTTTCATTCTTAGAGACACAGCGATATCTCTTAGGAAGGATGTATCCACATCTTCACTGTTTAGTTTTCTGGTATATATATCCCATGCTCGCTACCTTTAAGCAATGTTACAGTTAAATATGTCATTAATCTTAAACGAAGCAAAGTCGTTTCAAGTGCAACTTATAAATTCAAAACAATTTACAAAAGTAAATGACTTAATCCACGGTGAAGCCGCTTCTGTCTAACTTCTCCAATGCAGGCACGGCTTCGGGTGTACAAACTTGTGTGCCACTCTCACACCTGGGTCTCGCCCAATTCTCAAAAGCCTCTGCACCTTAAAGGCGACATCGCTAGGTCTACGTTCTTCTCAGGTTGCGCCCCCTCGGCCTCAGGTCTCCCACCCAGAACTCTTTACCCTTTTCTAAGAAGTTGGTCACCACCAGAATCCCGGCCGCTGCCGCCGTGCCTGGCCCAGCAGAAGGAGCAGAGGGCCCCGAAGGAGAGGAAGCAGAAGAGGGCGAGGTTGAACCATTCTCTGCGCTTCGGTTCAGCCGTTTTCTGTTCTTCTTGGAAGACATGATCAGGAGGCAGCCTAGGAAAAGCCACCGCAAAACCGGCTCCCAACGTGCTCGGTTCTGGGGAAGAAAAACTTCCGGGGCAGAAGTCAGCGAGACTCCGCCCTGCGCCGTAATCCCCCAAGTGGAGCGCTGTAGAAAAAGGGAGACCCGAGCATTTTCAGAACCCGCCATCTTGGAAGAGGTTCTGACTTTTGCAAAGGAAGACGGATTACGTGGACACAAGGTCATTTAGATTGTAAATTCCTGAAAGACAGGATTTTTTTTTTTATCATCTCTGCCCGCCTTTCCCATCCCATCCCTGAACAAACGTCTGTTGACTTAAACTAGAAAAAGAAAGTGGTGGAAAAGTTTCTCTCCGGCTTTCCTGGAACCGGGCAAATTCCTGAGAGGAGCTGGTGAACAGGACTTCGCGGTCACTTCAGTACAGCGCTAAAAAAAAAAAAAAAAAAAAGTGGTAACAGCGCAACTACGAGAAGAATGGGTGGCACTCTTCTAAAATTTACGGTAGAGACCTCTGCTCTGGAACTCAAAGGAAGGTTAATTTAGGGGCCGAGCTAGTGGTGGGACGCGGATGCGTAAATGCCGCCACTAGCAAGCGGGCGTTTTTGGCGCGCAGTACTCCTGCGAACCTGCAGCGCAAGGGTCTTGGGGCACCACGGGGCTTCCGGCGGTCCGGGTTGCAAGTGGAATCCTCCTGTCGGAGCGGAAGAGCTGCGGGGAGAGCTGGACAGATTCGGGGGCGTCTCGGTGCGCCTTGCGCGGCTCGGCGCGCTGGACCGCCTGGACGCCGCCTCATTCCAGAGGGGCTTGCAGGGCAAGTGTGCCTGGGCCGAGGGGTTCCCTGCCTCCGGAGCCTTTCTAATGAAGTAACCGGGGGCCCTGTTCACCTGACACGCTCTCCGCGAATCAAGTACCGAGCCCTAGGGAGAGAGGGCAGGTGTGACCCATACCAATTTCGCCCCCTTTCGTTCTTGTGTCCCTTGCTGGGAGGTTTCTGGGGCGGTTGGGTGAAATAGTAACTATCCCAGACTTTGAGATCGGCAGCCCGAGTTTCTGCTGCACTTTCTTAGTAAGGACCAAATATGTGACCTTCGGCAAGTTCTGTAAACTACCATTTCCCCTACCATAAAACCGGTTAGTATCGCAAAGGATTGCTGAGGGTTAAGTTGGGTAATGCATATAAAGTGCATATCACGGTCTCTGCCACATACTTAACGCTCAGTAATGTTAATATTATTTACTATCATTTACCGGGCCTTAGTTCTGCGGGGCACTTTGCCCGAGACAGAACTATACAGGTGGTGGACAATGAGTGGACTAGAGAGATTACTAAGTGGTCATTTTTGTACACAAATTGGGTCAGGCTGACGCATCAAGAACTAGAGTTTGCTAGAGACAAAACAAGTCTTTTATGGTTAACAAGGGAGGGTAGTGGGCGGTTTCAGTCTTCAATAAGAAAACTCTCCACTCTTCTTGAACCTAAGTCCAAAGAGAGGAAAGAAAGCTTGGATGGAGGAGCCTTCAGTTTGAGAGAAGCCCGTGATTTGGTTGGGAGTTTTTCAGACTGCCCCTGATGGTTCTTCTATTCGAATTGAAGGCCTAGCACGGAAATTCAGCCTTGGAAAGATTCTCTCACTCTAAAAGGAAACTTCAGATAATCTTTATCCTATTGAGCTATTAATAAGGCAAGTGAGGGTCTATGTAAATATAATTGAGCTAGTTATTTCATTCTTTAATCATTCTCCTTCCCAAACTACCTCTTCACCGCATTTTCTCTCCTACTTGTGAATAATTGCTGACTCCAACAATATCAACAGTAGGAGAATCAAATCAATGTTCATACTCTAATACATCTACCTATGTGTAGTATAGGAAGATACAGATATTTATTGCACACACTTGTCACATGTCAGTGGCCAGGTGGCTAAAGCACTTTCTTAGACAGGCAAAGCATGAGGGTTGGGTTTAGAGTCATACATCCGGGTTTCAACCCCAGATTCTGACAGGTGCTTAGCTGGGTAGTAGGCAAACCACCACTAAAAATATTTGCCTCTTAGGTTGTGTACGTGAATAATGCCAACCCTAATTACTTTACTGGATACATGTGATCGAAGATAAATTATAGGAAACTAATTTATAATCTGTAGTACCATATACTTTTTATAGTTTTTAATAAACATTTTAATGTTTTAATAACATTTTAATGTTTTAATAAAACATTCTATTGCATTTATGAATTCCTATTGCTAAACACTTTTAAGAACTTTACAAATATTAATTCATTTAATCCTCATAACAACTCTGAGGTAGATACTGTTACCTTTATTTTAAAGGGGATGGTACTGAGGCACAGAGAGATAAGTAACTTCCCTTGGCTCTGGAATCTGTTCTTAATGCATTATGCTGCCTCTAAGAGCTAGTGCAAATTTTGTTATTAAGTCAAACTAGCTTTTTCACTTGATTAGAATGACTAGGGAGGATATGTGAACTTTCTGAAGTAATAGAAATGTTCTTTAATCTTTATTGAAGTGTGTTACATAAGTGTATGCATATGTCAGAACTCATTAAATGTACACTTAAGATTTGTGTACTTCACTTTATGTAATTGTACATCAATTTTAAAAGGATTTAAATCAGAGAAAGAGGTGGGTGAGAAGGATCTGACTCCATAGCCCCAAATCAAGAAGCTTTTATGAAAGGCCCCCATGTGTTTGTCGCTGTATTAGACCCACTGCCTTTTAAAGAGGTAGAGAACAGGGTCCTTAACGAGGGAGTCACTTACTGCACAGCTGGAGAAGAGAAGAGGAGGAAAAGAAATTTAACCATTAAATAAATAATCAAACCTTCCCACCACCACACACGCACACAATTTGCAAGATTATTGTAAAGATTAAGTGAGGTGATGGATGGAGAAAGTGATCTGAGAAGTTTCTCTAAGACTGCAATATTCTTCACCCGTAAATTAGGGGCGATAATACTTGCCTTTCAGGTTGTGAGAATGTAATGAGATAATATATGTAGAGTGTCTAGAACTTAGTAAGGACCAAATGTTAGAATCTTTTTCTTCTGGCTTAATCTTAAGTAATAAGAGAATTTGCAGAAGTCAAAAACAGAAAAATCTACATTCATCTTGGTATTTAGAGTAGGAGTAAGAGGTTGGTTAAGTAGCTTTTGGTGTACCTATCTGAGGAAAATTATGCAGTCATTAAAAACTTAATGTTCATTAAAAATTTTAATGATATAGCAAAATGTTTATAGTAAGTAGTAAAAGATATGCTGTAAATTATATATGGTGTGATGTCAATTCCAAAATTATATTCATGGAAAAATGTCAAAATTATATTTTTATCTCTGCATGCTAGTAAGATATGAAGTCTTGATTTCTTCATTATATTTTCAGTTTTTTCTAGGACTGGTATACATTATTTAAAAACAAAGTTAGGGTTTTAAGCACCTTGAAATTTATAAGCCAAAAAAACTATAACAGAACTCTTAAAGAAAGTGTAAGTGGAAGCCCATAATAGTCATTTATAAAGATTAAAACTAAGGATGTTAAAAGGAACAGCATTAAAATGGTATTTTATTTAAATCGAGTTTTTTTGTTCATTCTACAAATATTGAGCACCAGTTATGTGCCAAGCATTGTGGTCAGGTGATATGAATATACTGACTCTATTCTCAAGGAATTCAGTCTGATGGAAAAATCACATAAGCAAGGTACTAATTACAATAAAACATGATAGTTCCCATGCTGTTGATGTGAACAGAGCATTTTAGGATTCCCCTCCCCCATCGCTTCCAAGCTAACTACTAAGGGAGGTGGATGTTTTAGGATGGCTTTTTAGAAGAGGTGATACCTGAGATCTTCCACTCGTTTCACTGGAAAATGTTTACAGATTTTTATCCTCATCTGCATTTTAGCTGCAGTACAACGATGGAGATCAGAAGGTAGGATAGCGGTATGGCTGCATATTCCCATCCTCCAAAGCCGATTTATTGCCCCTGCTGCTTCCCTGGGTTTCTGCTTTCACCATGCAGAATCGGATTCATCCACGCTGACACTGTGGCTGGGAGAGGGACCCAGCAGATTACCAGGATATGCTACACATCAAGTAGGAGTTGCAGGTCAGTTTCAAACTAACAATAAAATTAACCTTTTAGAGGTTCACCCAATTTTTTCTTACAGCTAAGTGATAGTTGATTCATGTGTAATGAGTAGTTTGATAAAAAATCCTTGGGATTATTAAGGAGTGCTTTAAATAGATGAAGTTTTCCTTATGAATCAGCAGAGGGCAGCACACCAAACAAGTTTGGTGTTTAGTTTTCCAGAGGATACCTTTGAACACTTTTATATAGGTACTTGAACTTCAGTACTCAAATGGTAACACTGAATTGGGATCAGGGACTAAATCATTATGGTAAAACATGTTAGTACTAATTATGTGAATTTGTAAAATAAAAGATAATTTTTAGGTTGAATTTAAGGTAAAGCAAAGCAGATTTTTTATTTGGACATTACTTCTTAATTACATTAAGTTATGGTGCCAAACAGTTGCTTAAGATAGCATAATTTAAGTATATTATGGACTTTTCAAGCCACTGATTAACTTCAAAGACATGGTCTTGAGAGATTTGCTTTAGGTTAAGACTGGAGTTCTCAAATTGTAGTGTGTGTCAAAATCACCTGGAGGGTTTGCTGAAAACACCACTGCTGGGCCCCACATCTAAGAGTTTCTGATTCAGTTGGTGTGGGGGGTTGCCAGAAAATTTGCATTTCTAATAAATTCTCTGCTGCTACTGCTAATGTTAATGCTGGTCCCTGAACCATCCTTTGAGAACCAGGGGTAAAAAAAAAAACTGAGGGGCGCCTGGGTGGCTCAGTTGGTTAAGCAACTGCCTTCGGCTCAGGTCATGATCCTGGACTCCCAGGATCAAGTCCCGCATCGGGCTCCCTGCTCGGCAGGGGGTCTGCTTCTCCCTCTGCCCTCTTCCCTCTTGTGCTCTCTGTCTCTCGTTCTGTCTCTCTCAAATAAATAAATAAAATCTTTAAAAAAAAAAAAACTGAAATAGTAAGTCCTTATGACTTAAATGAAAGCAGTATTATATATAAGCTAGTAATTTAATAATTTTATTTGCCTTCATATAATTTACAAGCGTTTTTAAAGGTAGTTTGCACCTTTGAGGTTAAAAAGGAGTTCAAGGATGTCTAATGTTTTCTCTATCCATGATCTCACTCCCTTGTAACAAGTAGAGGCAGTTAGAAATTTCCATTCAGCTCTACTTCAAAAGACTGGTAATTTGATAGCACCCTCACACTTCATTAGAAAGTTATGCAGATAATTATTAATTCATTGGTTTAGAGTTTTAAATTAGACTTTTAAATCCAGTTATTACTACAGAATTGTTAATATATGCATAAAGAGTATACTATGAAGCACCTGTTTATAACTAAATAGTATGTATTATAGTTAAGATATACCATAGGAGTTCAGGCAATGAGAGATCTGGAACTTGAAGTCTTGAAGTATAACTAGGATATGAAGTGGCTACTAGGGGTGGTAATGAAATCATGTAAGAAATTTTCTGGAAAGGTGTAGTGTTTTTTAGGTGAAGGGAAAGTAATTGACATTTATTGTTATAAGCAGCAGAAGGTAGGTGTGGCTGGTGAACATACCACCTCAAAATATACCACAATGGCATATTGATTATTTTGAGCTTGAAAAACACTAGATACAGGAAGAGTCCTCTGCCTCCCCTTTTTTCCCTAAAAGCAGGGCATAAATTTTTTGTACCAGGAAGAGGAGACATTCTTATAGAAGATGGGAAGTTGACACCAAGACGAGTCTGTACAAATAAACCCTTATTAAAATAACTCTTGTATTCCATTAATTTCCCCCGTATATGTCCTAGTCATTTTTCCACCATTTACCTCCTTATCCCAAACCTCTTTTTCTTTTGTCTTGTCATGTCTCCATAATGTATTGCTCTTTGTTGAAATGGTACATATGCCCCTGGGCTTAACCACTTTTTGGGGATTTTCAGTTCTTTTAATCAATTCTTCCATCACCACCCCAGGCCATGTAAATATAATAAATAAATAAATAATATATATACTTTTTTTCCTCCATTAATCTGTCTTCGGTCAGTTCAGTTCACAGCCCTAGACACAGAACCTAAGTATTAGAGGAAAAATCTTTCCTTCCCTACCCTGGAATGGAGTGAGCTATGGTTTTGTTACTGTTCTTCAAACACAACAAGCTTGTGTCTGCCTCAGAGCTTTCACACCTATTGGCTCGTCTTCCTGTAGTACTCTTTCCCAGGGCTTTGTTTATCTAGCTCTTTAGAGCTGAAGTTTCTGCTCCAACATCTTCTCAAAAGTCTCCTGACCTTCCTGTCTAAAATACAGTCCTCCTGCATCATTCATGGTCCCTTTATCCAGGTCTGTTTTTCTATATAGCACCCACCACAATCTGAAATTATATCATGTACTTAATTTCCCCCACAATAATATAAACTCCATGAAGGCAGGTATTTTGTCTTTCCCACCACTGTGTTGTCAGGTTAAAGACAGTGTCTGGCATAAAGTAGATACTCAATAAATATTTCTTGAATGATTAGATAGCTCTTCAAGTGGAAACTCAAGTCCCCAGAGAACACAATTATGTGGGGAAGGGACACGGTTGCACAGTGAGAATACCAGCTCAGAATCCAGACAGACAGTTTTAGGGCTGTGTGAACTTGGGCACTCAAAATGATACCACTCACATGATTATTGTGAAGAATACCTGAGATAATGCACATAAAGCACTTAGCACAGTATCTGACTAATCATAATATAATAATCTCTAATCCCTGATCTCTTTGTGTTTATATGCCATTTAAGTTGTGACCAGCAGGGGTCGCTCACGTTGTGCTTTAGCCACGCTGGTTTTGTCTTTGAAGTAAATATTTTGCTCATGTTTATAATTCATTAGGGAAAATTGCAATTTGAGTAATCACAAATTATTAAAATTTAAGAATATGTTTCCTTGGCATTTCTTTGGCATTCTAACCCTTATAAAGTCCAATTAATTATATTTTATGTTTTCTAATAGAAGCCAACATTAATGTTAATTATATCTCACTTAGTAGTTTTCCTTTTTTTTAAACAGTAAAATGTGGAGTTTTCATTTCAGAGAAATTTGTCCTTCCTTATATTATATATACCTAACCCTTTCTATATTTTATTTCTACATAGCATTGTCACCTCATGTTCTTTATAATTTGTTTTCTGTTTGTTACTTTCTCATACACACACCAGAATGTGAGCCCACTGAGGATAGGGGATTTTGTTTTATTTACCACTATATCCCTAGCACCTAGAAAATGCCTGACACATAACAGGGCTCAAATATAGAGAACCCATATGTATTATATATAAGAACTCACTTACTATTGAAAGGGTATGTAGAAAATATCTTTTTAACAATATTTCCTCACATTATGTAAATATAAATATTTTTAAATTATAGCATTTAAAGGACTTAATACAAATCATTAAGGTGTCACTTATATTTTTGACCCAGGATTGTCAAAAAACAAATAAACCTTATTTATTTGGGTCCCTAACGTCTAGCCAAATGCATAGTGTGCTTGGCAGTGTGTATATTGAATGTATAAATAAAAGGATTAGAACTTAGGACATATATAAAATAAACAATTATCCCAAAGCAATGTATTGGTATGTTATAAAGTCATATGCACATGCGGTAAAAAAAAAAAAAAAAAAGTAAGTGGCTTCAGTGAGATCCTGAACTGAATATTGAGATATTTGAGAGTTAGATCATCAGAGGCATAACCCATGTTCTATATACATAGTGATTCAAGGAATAAAAATGAGCATGGAAAAGTCACTTCATTTATTCAATAAATATTTTTAAGCACTTAAGATTTGACATTAAAATAAATGCTACAGAAGGATAGAAAGATTAATTTATTTAACAATGTACCATCAGGAATAGATGATCTAGAGAAGAAGCTTATGCAGCTGATTATCCTACAACTTAGCATGTGCTAGAAACTTTTTTTTTTTTTTTTTAAGAAGAGATCAGCCGGCAAGGAGCTAAGGCCTGTGCAGAAGTCTCTGGAGCCAGGGAGAACAACAGATGGGCCCACGTGGGGCCTTCCCCTTGTGGGGATGGTTTTTCCTTTCCTTTTTCTTTCTTTCTTTACTTTTTTTTTTTTTTTTTTAAGATAAAACGTTCAGGGGGAAATCGGAGGGGGAGGCGAACCATGAGAGATGATGGACTCTGAAAAACAAACTGAGGGTTCTAGGGGGGAGGGGGGTGGGAGGATGGGTTAGCCTGGTGATGGGTATTAAAAAAGATCCACGTTCTGCATGGAGCACTGGGTGTTAATGCACAAACAATGAATCATGGAACACTACATCAAAAACTAATGATGTAATGTATGATGATTAACATAACAATAAAAAATATTTTTTAAAAAAAAAAAAGAACCATCATTAGTATTTCCCAAGTTGTTAAAAGAACCTGAATAACTGAGCAGTCATTTTATTGCTGGAGAGATTTTAAAAGTGGTCAAGGATGAGGTGGTACTTGAACTAGGCCTTCCAGGATGGGTACGATTTTGATGACCACAGATAGGCGTATGGAGGAGTCTAAGGTGAATGAAATTAATATTTCTCAATTATCTTTTACTTTTCCCCCAACAGGAGCTGTATTTGATGAAAATACTAGGAAAATATTGGTTGTACAAGATCGAAATAAAGTAAGTTGCTTCTGCTTTTAAAAAAATTTTTTTTTAATTTTAGTATAATTAACCTACAGTGTTGTATTAGTTTTAGGTATGCAATATAGTGATTCAGCAAGTCTATATTTACTCAGTGCTCATCACAGTAAGTGTACTCTTAATTCCCTTCCTCTATTTCACCCATCCCTGCACTTACCTCCCCTCTGGTAACCACCAGTTTATTCTCTATAGTTAAAAGTCTGTTTTGTTTGCCTCTTTTTTTTTTTCATCGTTTGTTTTGTTTAAGTTGCTTCTGCTTTGTAAATTGCTTTCTAAATTTTCAGTTCTCCCTCGAGAAAAATAAAATGCAGAAATTTTTATATGCTCAAGGAATTACAGCTAGATATTTTAAAAGTTCTTTCTAAGCAGTTATGAATTATTAGGATATTTATTTAATTCAAAAAGTACCTATGGAGGCTTTGAAAATGTCAGGATAACCTCATGTTGCTCGCTATTATATTATGGCTACAGAAAAATTATAAATGGCTATATTTAGGTGGGAAGACAACTGTGTTTCTCACAGACTGTCAAGATATTCTTCCATTCATTCAGCATTCATTAAGCTCCCATTCTGAGCCAAGTGCTGAGAATACAAAGGTTGTTAAAACAGCTGACCTTTCAAGTTTTTACTTCTTTGGATCTCTCTTACAGCCCTATGGACTTTTCCTAGAGCTTATCATTACTCATATTGTGACTTAATAAGTCTTTATTTTAAACTTCCCTTGTTTAATTCATTGTGTGGCTCTATGTCCTGATTGGGAACAATGAGATAGTAGTTAGAGAACAATTTTTTTAAAAAGTTTTGCTATAAGGGAAGAAGATAAATGCAGTAGTAATGAGGGTATTTGAGATTAATAGATGAATTTTTAACAAAAGATACTAATGCAAGTTTATAACTGAATGGAAATATTTGGTAGGGAAGGAGAAACTTATAATGAAGGAATGAGAAAGATAAATGCAGAAGAGTAATAGATTAAAAAAAGTAAAAGGATAAAAATCCAAAGCAGGAATGGAAGGACTGGCTGTGAAAGAGGGAGGGACAGTTATTTTCATTCTTAAAAGAGGAAAAACAAAAAATAAGACTTGTGGAGATATACAGATTTAGTGTTGGGACAACATGGGAGCTCCTACTGAGCACTTCCATTTCCCTCAAAGAAATAGCAGGAAGAGTCACCAACTGAGAAAGATAGGAGAGGAGAGGTTATTTATAGATGTGAGGATAGAAGAGAAGGTATGAAATACTCATCTCAGAAAATGAAGGCAACTAGGGAAGTATAGTAAAATTGACAAATGGTGCTAAATGTCCTCTTAGATTTGTGGGTATTATTGAAAATGAGAGGAATCAAAAAGAGTTCTATGACTTTCTCAAAGAATTTTCAGCTGCTCAGGCACAAAAAAAAAGGCAAATACTCAGGTTTAACTAGATTAGAATTTTTCCTGGATAAGTATAATGGAGGAAAGAATTAACTATGTTTGTGTAGGAGTAATTACATTGATGAACCATAAAATTTTTTTATTATTAACATATAGTGTATTATTTTTTCAGGGGTACAGGTCTGTGATTCATCAGTCTTACGCAATACACGGTGCTTACCACAACACATACCCTCTCCAATGTCTATCACCCAGCCACCTCATCCCTCCCACCCCCC